AAAAAAAAAAATTAAAAGAGTTAGATAAGGTTTGCAATAAATAACAAATATAAAGGTTCATAGAAAGTATACTATCATGAGTCGAAATGATACGTCTAAATACAAGGTGAAGCCTAGTATATACAAAACAGGAGATTTCAGGGATGAGAGGTATACAATTGACCCCCCCTTAGGGAAAAGAGCCAGCCACTCTCCTTGCGCCCCCGGCCGCTGCTACTTGAACCGAGCGGCTTCAGTGCCCATATGAGCTCGCACCCCCTGCCCACCTCCCTTCCCGGTGGACGGGAGCCCCCCTCCTCCGGTCCGTATTCCCCGCTGTAACTTAAGCTGTTTATTAAGGGCTGAAGGGCTGCCTTTTTTTTTTTTTTTATGGGAGGGAGGGACGGGGCGTTCCCGGAGGGGGCTCTGTTTACGTCGCTCGCGCAGACCCATCTCCCCTTTATTCCCGGGCCGACCCCACGTTTCTTGGCTTTCCCCTCCCGGTGCCTGCCCCGCGCTTGCTTGGGCGCCAGCCACGTTGTTTTCAATCTTTGGGCTGCGCTTCTGTGCCCCTCGGCCTCCCCTCCCGCCTCTGGACAGCCTTCCCTTCCCGCTCGGGCTCCGGGCCAGGGTTTGGGGCTCCCTCCGCCGCTTTCCCTTTCACCAGGATTTGTTTTCCTCCCAGTGGGGAGACCAGCCCTCTTGTGGCGGGAGCTCATGGGGGGGGGGGTGGGGATTGAAGTAGCAGTTTCCCCTGGAGTTGAAAGGTAAGGCACTGGCCTCCGAACCCGTTTCCAGGCGCTCACCCTGGACACGAGCGGGGGCCTTTCTTGGGGTCGGTCTTCCGGGACTGGGGGCCGCAGGGATCGGCTGCTTTCTCAAGTGGCTGCTGTTTACTACAACCTGCTCTTTGCTTTTCCAGACACAACAGCTGGGAGCCGGAGGAGAACATCCTGGACCCGCGGCTGCTGCTGGCCTTCCAGAAGAAGTGAGGAGGGGGCGGTGTGGGGAAGGGGCGCTGGGGGGAACGCAGGGGGCGGGGCCTGCCACAGGCATGGGGGCGTTGCTGGCCGCCCAGGGGTCCCCCAGCAGCTGTCAGGGCTCCCTGCTGCCATCCCCAGGGCTGTCTGTAAAGGTGGAGCAAACTTTGAGGCCCCGTAGGAGCCGTCCGCCGGCCAGGGCTGTGTCTACACCTCAGAGCCCAGCCCGAGTCAGGGCTGCTGTTGGGCTTCTGAGAGCCAGGTTTGCCTAAAAGAACCGTCTTGATTCCTTCACCAAAAGTCCTGCCTTTCCTGTTGAGTAATTTGCAAACAGGGCTGATGACAGCTAGGACAGTGGGCTTGCGGCAACAATACAGGCCCGGCCTCCCCACCCTGCGCGAGGTGCCACTGAGCAGGAGAGGCCCAGAGAGGGAGCGGAGCGCACAGCGCCGGTTGGGTCCTGCCATAGGGGCCTGCCGGGTGCGGGGTGTGTCTGCCGGGACCGTTTCTTTTTCTCGGGGCTGCAGAACACACTGTACCAGGCGAGTGGTGCCCAGCGAGCACGTGCACGGGGCAGCCCCCGGCCAGTCTGGGCCGAATCTGCTTCTATAATTCTAGGTGCCATTTCTATGTTTAGGTAGGAGCCTTGTTAGAGAGAGGCCTTGAGATGCTCGAGGGAAGGGGTGGTGAGAGGCAGGCGATGGACAGGCCACCCCAACCGGCAGGAGAGTCCAGAGGTGCTGTCGGGAGCACGCTTGACGGGGAAGGTGTGGGCGCTGCGCTGGGCAGGGGAGTGCCTGTCTGTCGATGGAGGCAGATCCGTTAGCTGCTCAACAGCTGTCCCTGCTGGGGTCCAGCAGAAGGCTTGGGGCTTCTCCGAGGGCTGTGATGGTGCCGTGAGAGAAAAGCTGGCCTGGGGCGGGGGGCGGGGGGTGAGCGGAGGCTTGCCCTCCTGCCTTGGGGAGGCCATAGCTCAGGTCCCAGAGCCGTGAGGGGGTGTCCACACAGACCAGAGAGCCTGCGGTCCTGGCTGAGCTCCTTAGGGTTCAGCAGAAGGAACGGGGTCGGCGGGCAGGATACCGCGATGGGGCTGCCGGACCCTGAGAGGCCAGAGAGGTAAAGCCGGTGGTCTGAGTCACATCCTGGGACGGTGGGTGCTCTTTCTCCCGGAAATGGGCGGAAGGTCCTGCCGGAGGCCGGGGGCTAGCGGTTCCGTAGGAGGCGGTCGGGCTGCCTCGGAGAGTCCGCTGCGGCTGGCGGTGCTCACTGGACCCTGTAAGGGTCACCTGCCAGGCCCCAGGGAGGTGCCGTCGGCCCGTTTTAATCATCAGGAAACCCCTCCAGGTAGATCCTCCTCCCCGGGGATGGGCAATAGCCTGAAACACGGGCTCTCTCGAGGGGCCGAGTCGGGGCTGGTTGAGGGCATCCGGGGGCTTCGAGCTCGGCCTCTGTGGGATCCAGGAAGCGGGCGTCTTAGAAAGGGGAACAGGCGGGACTGCGCAGGGCACTGGCCTGGGAAGACGCGTGCAGACCCGTGGGTTCTCTGTGCTCCTCAGACCTGCAGGTTTTGTGCCGTTAGTTGTGGGGGGGGGGGGGTGCTGGGGGCAGGTCCTCACTCGGCCTGGACTCCGGTTTGAAATGAGGGGATTGGGCCATGTGACCACAACGACTCCTCGTGGCGTTCTAGAATTCTCCGGAAACATTCTGCCTGTAGAAAGGCCTGGGTCAGGCGCGCTGTACCTGGATTCGGAGAGACCAGAACTGTTCACGTGGCGGGTCCGCTTGGCTCTTCGACTTGTCTTTACCCGACGCCAGTGGAATGGGGGGGGGGGGGGTGCAAACATCACGGGCGCTGCAGAGGGCTGGCCTGGAGTGGACGGGGTTTGAGGCCATGGGGTTCCGTGTGCGGGCGGTTCTGTGACCCCGATGGTGATTCTCTTCAGGGAACAGGAGAAGGAGGTGCAGAACCGGAAGAAAGGCAAGCGGCCCCGGGGCAGGCCGCGGAAGCTGGCGGTGATGTCCTCCTGCGGCCGGCACTCCAAGCTCAAGGTGGGCGGCGAGGCCTGCTCTGGCTGCTCCCCTCCGGCGCTGGGGTGGTGTGCAGGTACTGAGCGGAAAGACTGAGGGCTTTGGGGAAGAAACCCTGGCCTCTTGCTACCTCCAGGCCTCTGCGTGGGGTCGCAGCGAGTGCAGGCTCCTGAGCTGAGGATATTTCTCCATTGGTTTCTTTTTTTTTTTTTTTTTTTTTAAATATATTTTATTGATTTTTTACAGAGAGGAAAGGAGAGGGAAAGAGAGTTAGAAATATCAATGAGAGAGAAGCATCGATCAGCTGCCTCCTGCACACCCCCTACCGGGGATGTGCCTGCTACCAAGGTACATGCCCTTGACTGGAATCGAACCCGGGACCCTTCAGTCCGCAGGCCGACGCTCTCTCCACTGAGCCAAACCAGTCAGGGCTCCATTGGTTTCTATTTTTATTTCTTTATTTCCATCGATCTTTAGAGAAAGTGGAAGGGAGGAGGGGAGACAGAGAGAGACGCATCGATGGGTTGCCTCCTGCAGAGCCACGACCAGGCACAGGCCCTTGACCAGAATCGAACCCAGGGCCCTTCAGTCCTTAGGCCAACGCTCTGTCCACTGAGCCAGGCCCGCCGGCGCCATTTTCCTGCTTTTAGCTCGCTCCCCCGTTTGCCTCTATTGTGGAAGCGACAGGAGGTGCTGGCTTCAGCGTGGCCGAGACCCTGGGGGGAAGTGTGTGTTCTGGACCCAGGGACCAGGCCGCAAAGGGTGACACCTTCCCTGGGTCTCTGCAGGAACCGGACACCTCCTCCAAGTGCAAGTCCAGCAGCTCCTCCTCGTCCTCCACGTCCTCCTCCTCTTCCTCTGATGAAGAGGGGGACAGCGACCTAGACGCCAAGAGGGGCCCCCGTGGCCGGGAGACCCACCCAGTGCCACAGAAGAAGGCGCAGATCCTGGTGGCCAAGCCCGAGCTGAAGGACCCCATCCGGAAGAAGCGGGGCCGCAAGCCCCTGCCCCCGGAGCAGAAGGCGGCCCGGAGGCCCGTGAACCTGGCCAGGGTGCTGAAGACCGCCAGGAAGGACCTGGGGGCGCCGGCCAGCAAGCTGCCCCCTCCGCTCAGCGCCCCCGTGGCCGGCCTGGCGGCCCTGAAGGCCCACGCCAAGGAGGCCTGCGGCGGCCCCAGCAGCCTGGCCACCCCCGAGAGCCTGGCCAGCCTGATGAAGGGCATGGCCGGCAGCCCCAGCCGCGGTGGCATCAGCTGGCAGAGCTCCATCGTGCACTACATGAACCGCGTGAGCCAGAGCCAGGCCCAGGCCGCCAGCCGGCTGGCGCTCAAGGCCCAGGCCGCCGGCAAGTGTGGCCTCGGGCTGGACCTCAAGGTGAGGACGCAGAAGAGCGAGCTGGGGTTCAGTCCCCCAGGAAGCAAGCTCCCAAAGGCCCCCGGCAGTGGGGTGATGGAGCCGAAGGGGGGGGCCGGGGGGCCCCCGCACGCCCACAGTAGCAGCAAGGTGCCTGCCGGTGGCCTGGGCCCTCAGCCTGCACCCACCCAGGAGCTGAGCCTCCAGGTCTTGGACTTACAGAGCGTCAAGAATGGCATGCCGGGGGTGGGCATGGTCGCCCGCCATGCCACAGCCGCCAAGGGTGTCCCTGCCGCTGTGTCCGGCGCTGGGAAGGGGGCCGGGGCTGGCCCCACCGGGGGCAACGGAGCCGGCATGCTGACCGACACCAGCAAGAGTGAGAAGCTGGCCTCCCGGGCTGCCGCTCTGCCCGCCCCTGCAGGGAAGAGGGACGGTGGCAAGGGCGGTGCGGCCCCCGGAGGGCAGGAGGGGCCTGGGGCCCTGGGCAACGCGCGCAAAGCGGCCGCGCTGTCGGAGATGAGCACCGGCGAGGAGAACAGCAGCTCCGACTCGGACCCAGACTCGGCCTCGCCGCCCGGCGCCAAGCAGAACCTGTCCGTGTCGGTGCAGACCAGCCAGGACTGGAAGCCCACCCGCAGCCTCATCGAGCACGTCTTTGTCACCGACGTCACCGCCAACCTCATCACGGTCACCGTGAAGGAGTCCCCCACCAGCGTGGGCTTCTTCAACCTGCGGCACTACTGACACCCACCGTGGCCGCCGCCGCCTCCCCCGCCCGCTCCGGCCTCTGGTTTGGCTCCAGTAAGTGACCCACACCCCAGGCCACGCCAGGGCAGGCGGGAGGCCTCCCGGGCCCACCCCTGCCTGGGGCGTCGGGCCGGGTCGTACCTCGATGCCTTGCTGGGGCCTGGCCGCCCCGTTCCTACCTCGGCCTTCGCTTCCCTGTGGCCTCAGGAAGTCTGGGCACCCCCTGCAGCTCGAGCCAAATCTCGGAACTGCCCTCCTGGCTGTGGTGACGGCTCCCGGTTCCCAGGGGCACAGTGTTCAGGAGGGAACTTCTGGGCCAGCGTGGCTGTTCTGCCCGGTGGCACATGGCTATGGGGGGCGGGGAGCAGGCCTGGAGGACCACACCAGTGCAGGCGGACTAAGATGGGGGGAGCCGTGGCCTTGCTGCCAGAACCCCCCCCCCGCAACTGTGCCTGAGCTGTCCAAGGTGAGGGGACTTCATCTCCCTGTCGCTGTCCCCTCTCCTGACAGCTGAGGGCTGTGTGTGAGGTGGGGGAGGCAGGGACCCTAGAGAGGTCGCTTTGGTGCCGTCTAACCTGGGGCCACGGCGCTGGGCAAGTCCCTGAGCTGTTGCACCTGGAGAGCCAGCCTCTGGGTTTAGGGGGCAGAAGGAGAGGGTGTCGCTCCTGCTGCCTGCCTTCTGCCACCGGTGCCAGGGCCACGCAGTCCTCATCTCAGCCCCACAGACTGCCCGGCCTGCTGGCTGTGCGGGGGCCCGCCACCCCTGACAATCCCCCCCCCCTCTGGGGC